AAATGAAAGCATCCTTTTGTTAATGCCTTCATCTACCTTTCTCATTAGAAGTACATCTTGTGACATCTTTCTTCAGTTATTTCCCAGGGTGAGCAACTACTTAATGGACTGATATTCAGGCTCAGAGTTGACTGAGCTCATATTCATAGGGTTGATTTACTAAAGGCAAATAGGTTGTTTATTTGCAAGGGAATTTCCCCCTTAGCTTAGTGAATAAGGTGACACTCTCTGCTGACTTCCATCATCCAATGAAACTCACAATAGTCTGACACAGATCAACACTTGCATCAGCCTTTCATATTGTGACTCGCTACAAAGTTTTAGGGCCCCTTCACACCTATGCATTGCGATAACATGCATCAGTGCATGGCGCTAAGAGTGTTGTGATGGCATTGAATGTGATACACATACTGCATGTTTTTGTGTGCTGCGGTGCACTGCAATGCACCATACATGTGTCCTCAATGTTGCAGTCTGATCACTGGTGAAGAGGAAACTAAGAAAATGTGTTTCCCTGCCTGCAGCAGATCGATGCTTCAATGTCATCTGTTGACAAGAGCTCAATGACTGTTGTTAATGATAAAACATACATTTTAAGAGAGAAACTATACTGTTGCTGTACATTGTTACATGACAGAAATGTATTCAATTGGACTTGTAAAGTTACTAAAAGTTTCACCAGAATAAACGTCTGGTGTCCCCTGCTTGGGGCCAGCCTTTTGTTCACTAATATAGCAGTATAATTACCCTGGAATACAGCTGACATGCTATGACTTTGCTTATAAGGCTAAACAATTACTGTATATAACCCACAGTTGGCAAAACTTAGATTAATGCGGCACTGCTGCTGAGCTAACTTCATTGTCCATAGTATATGTACATTTTACTTAGTGATATTGCATAAATAAAAACATAAAAAGTAGAATGAACATTAACAGATTTAAAGAACAGAATTTGTCATACAAACCAGGAACATATTTAGGGACTAAGATTTAGAGTGACATACCTTCAAAATGACGGGCACTCTCAGGGACTTCGGGGGGAAACTATTATATGCCAGTATAGACTTAGTGTGAATTAATAGGCAAAACCTTTTATCTAGTTTTGGATACGGTATGGGATGGTTAAAACCCCTATCAGATTATTTTTTGCTGACTGTGTCCCGCTGGGGAGATTTACCTTCACTCACTGTCCAGGATACGCAACAGGAAATGAGTGGAAATCGCCTAAAACAAGGGGAATCCCCCACTCTAGACAGTTGTCACTGAAACATGTGTTCCCATTGGATAATTTACCCTAAAAGTTTTTTCCTTACATACACTTAAAAGAACCCTTGTTTAAGTAAACCTGTCAGATTAAGCATATGGAGTTGCCATTGCTGACCTCCTTCTAAATAAGTTAGCTGCCAGGCTGTTAAGTTTAATGTTTCTGGTTTCAACACTTTTTAAATAACTGGCCCATAACAAGGTTGCAGATGGGGAAAGTTAGAGAAAAGTCAGATGAACTAGCATTTGTAGATGGAGAGGTCAGCAAGGGCAGCCTTCATAGTTGTGTCATGATGGGCTTTCCTTATATCACATAATGCAAGTAGACCAGGGATTATGTTCATCTTGATTCTCTGTATCTGCACCAAATTAGAATAGCTATAAAAGCAGTATTTAACAAACTTTAGTCACTACCACAATCTTTACAGTGTGCATCTATCACCTGTACTATATAAGGTAAGAAAAATGTGGGTTTTTCATACCTGAATTATTATGTTACCAGTACTGGCTGTAACTGCAAAGCATCTGATCCACACATTTACTGAAACTTTTAGAATCCCTTTTACATCCAATTAGGACTGCCCCTTGAAAATTCAGTGTCCAGTTAGTACACTGGCCTCTCTAAAATGTTTGCTGTGGCACTCTTTAGTTCACACCACTGGCTCCTGACCCTATTTTTTCAGAAGGCTTTCCTGCTTGTACAGTTAATACAGAGTTCTGTTTAATACCACCTGTTGCAAGTAAGTATACCACCAGTGGTATACAGCCCATGCCTGTGTTTAATGAATTACCTTAAAGTATAACTAAATCCAATCTTCTGAGCTGCCACCAGAACAAGAAGAGAAGGGAAACCTAACAATATGGACACTTGTTCCCATGACAAGTACAGGACAGGAAATGAAGGAAAATCTACCTAATTAGGTAAAAATAACTTTCCCCTACCCTGTAGTGGGTTCATTTAAAGGGGTCCCATGGAGCAGTAGCTTTTTCTTGGGGTAGATATTTTCTAAAGCTCATCCACACTTAAGGGATGAATAAACTGTAGCTTTTCCTTCACTACACTATGCAATACTGAGATTGCTCAGGCAATAGCTAATTCTGGGCTTTCTAATAAAATATCTTAGCAGCACTTACTATTCTGACTCCGATTGTTGTGATAGTGATATTTCCCTTGCTGAGACCTCTATGCCTGGCCTGTATAAGCAGATTCAATCACTGAGGACAATCATTGTCAGCAGGGCTTGAAAAATTTGATAGCGTCTCACCAGTCAGTCAAAAATTTCACCAGTCAGCACGACCGGACTATAGCCTTGCTATTTATGTTAAAAAAGTTTGGGGACAGATAGAGCTTTCTTTTGGAGGTATATAATCACCACGGGGTATTTTTTTTACTATATAATTAAAAAAGTACCATAAAAGTCAGGGTCACGTCGGGTAAATAGACACCAAACATGTCAAGCCTTAAAACTGCGTGTGCCCGCAAAAATTGCAAAAAATGCCCACAGGCGACGATTAAAACGCTTTTACTGTTCATCAGTTTAGTGTTATCAGTGATTAAAGGAGAACTATGGGGTCAGGGTGGGAGTTTGTACACTGAACTCCCTTTGATCTCCTGTCACAGAGCCGTGCCGGTCCCGGCCGCATCGGGCACAGCGGATCTCGGGACCGGCAACGGCAGTGACAGCTGCTGATACAAGCAATCGAGCGTCTCTCGAGACGCTTGATCGCTTGACTGTAAAGCTCCCGGCCGGCAGTGTAGTTACAACAGCCGGCCGGGAAGCTGCTCGTCGGGCTCCACTGTCTGCTCGTCACAGACGAGCAGACGAGTGGATTTTCGAGCCCTGATTGTCAGATAGCTGAACTCACCAATACCATTTCATCCACAAGGGTTGCTTTATTCTGTACATCAGACAGCAGGATACAGCAGATGTATGGTTTTCAGTATTATGCGGTCAAAAGATGATGCCTTTCCTTGCGTACTATGCAGAATACATGTGTCCTTGTTACATGTGGCCTGTTAGCTGTGGCCATGAAACAGGAAGTACTGACCAACAAGAAGAAGGGTGGAGCATACATACAGAGGAAATACATCACAAAGGGAACGCAGAACATCTTTGATACCAAGAAAGACCACTAGATGGCAGCATAGGAACTAACATATAAAACGTCCATAAAAAATGGTATAGAGAAACAATCTATATAAATTCTCATCTATATAAAACTTTTATGCCCCATTGGGGCGGCACACTTACTCATTTAGGAATTGTCTCTCTCTCATTGATACTGAATGTAGTGCTGATTAATTTGATTGTATGCGTTTTCTGAATGGAGCTGAAAAAAGAACTGGCTCACATTGCACTCTTTTTAAACCATATAGGTAAATAATTTTTTAATCTTTATTACAGGACCAGCAATATTCTCAGGGGCATCAGTTACTAGGTAATGTTTTGAACAACTGTCACACTTCCTCTCTTAATACCCCAGAAGACAAGGAACAGACGTTACAGTTACAAGTAAGTTGGTGCAGTCAAAAACATCTGTACCCACTACACTATATGATTTTTATCAAGCCTTTTTTTTATACAATATTCACAACATTTGCACTGAAATAAAGCTCCAATTTAGGTCATAAAGCAGAAAACAATGGGGGAATTTATAACATTTTTGGACAATTTCCATGCCCCATCGTTTTTCATGGTTTTCATCCTTAACCTGTATACAGTACGTTGTCTGCAATAATAGACATGGCTCAGTACACATGTGAGTAGTCAGGAGTTGGTGCTGTGTGGCTCCCCATACTTTTTGTGCAATGTTCATGTTTAGTTGAGCTTCAGCTGTTCTGTAGGAAAAAAACTTGCAAAAAACGGCTGGAATATATGTGGACCAATACTTCTAACATATGCACTTGATGCTCTTCTGCATCCACCACCATGTAGATTCTTCCATAGAGGAACTTATCTAGCCACAGAGAAACGCAGCCTGTGCACAAAAGTAACAATATTTTCTAGGTAATTTTAAACACATTCTTTAAATATGTTTATTAAATATTTTGCTGTTCTACCACAGCACAATGACTTGCTGAGCCTTGTAAACAAGTTGCTACGATCATGGAACCAACCACTACAGCACTTGAGTATGGGAGCTCCAGATCACATGACCAGGAAGTTGAAAGAAGCTGAGGAACACACGCGAGTGTTGCAAGGGGGAATAGACCGAATCTCTGGAAGGGTATGTAGTGATTTAACCACAAAAGAGAGAACTACACAAACAGCAGGCAGGAATTATGTTGCTGTACTTAGAAGAAGCTACACATCTCGGAACCCTGCTTTATAATGTTCCTGAGTAATAGATATTGTGTTGGGGAGGTTGGCTTCTTCCAGTTAAATGACCATATAAATTATTGTTGTCTGTCCAAAAGTCTGCAGTTGAGAGTATTTTTAAAAGTGCCTGTGTCCTCCCTAGGTAGTGACTTGACAGATGATAGAGTTTGATCATTGAGTGGAGATTTCATCACTTCTATCAATTTTTTTTCACTCATCAGTAAAGTTCTTTAATGTTATCCATAAATAGAAAGCATGAAATTAATTTCTTTAGATGCAGATATTTGTGAACCAACTTAAGAACTTTATTGATATCCTACCTTTGAATAGCTTTCTTGGTGATGAATACAAAGCCAGCTTATAGTGGAAGCATGAACTTCCTCTTGGCAATCAAGATGATTGGAGACTTCCAACCCAGCATTTCCATGGGGTGACGGAATGACTAGTTCTCTTTGCTGAATATGACCACCTGAAATCTCAGGCACAAAATCATGCACAATACAAAACACAAAAAGTCCCCAGCACACTTGCCAGCTAGCCTGCAACAAAATATTACCGTCTAACAGTATGCATGGGAAACAGAGGTTTAGTTACACAAACCTTTGGCCAAAAATATGTAGAAGCCACACCACCCCATCAAGGCTCCTATGTGAAGTGTGGTCCGAACTCTATTTATGAGTCTCCATGTTGGAGCATATTAATGCAGTCGATAAATTAGATGCAGGTGTACCTGGAGGCAGCCCACTCCTCCTTAAATAGTGCAGGAACGCACAAAATCATGCACAGCCTTGCTGATCATTGGCATGATTTCACAACTGCCTGAGTCTCTATCTCTTGTAAGTTTGAAAAAAAGTATTTTCAGTAGGGCTGGGGAAATTAACAATGAATTACCCGATTAATCGTTAAAATTTTTGATCGATTAAAATTATTTTGATCAATAATGAAAACACTCACCTCTCCGCCGGCTTCCGGGAGTCCCGTCGGAGATCTGGTGACGTCACGGACATCGACGTCACTGGACTCCTCCCCCCTTCCCCAAGTGGCTCCATCGGCTAACAAAGGGAAGGGGGAGGAGTCCGGTGATGTCACGGACATCAACGTCACCGGACTCCTCCCCCTTCCCTTCGTTAGCCGTCAGAGCCACTTGGGCCGGTGATCTGTCGACACTTATGGAGTTCTGCGACCACCTGACTTCCGGTTTCGTTACAACTAACAGGTTTGCCCAATAAACTTGTTCTACACGAGCGCCAGCCAAGGCATTGACCTACGCACATACAGCACAGCAATGAAGTAATAAAATGAACTAGGATCACATGCACTAATCCAGCACGTTATTATTCTGAGTTGCCCCACTCAAGCGGCGGCCATATTGAGTGGGGCACCTGAGATTGATAACGTGCTGGATTAGTGTGATCCTAGTTCATTTTATTACTTCATTGCTGTGCGTGTAAAGGCCAATGTAGTTGGATCTGTATGTGCGTTATAATTAATCCAAATTAATCGATTAAAAAAAATTTAGATTAATCAAACACGAAAATTTGAATCATTACCAGCCCTAATTTTCAGACAATTTTGTCAGGGAGCCTGCTTTGTCCATACTGCCAGCAGTGATCCTTTCTAGAATTCTATATCTTAAATGGTAATTATGTCTAGTGTTAGATGACCTTCTGCATCTATCTTTTGTGGCAGAGCAGTTGAATACTCTAGACTCAGCCAGGACACTCTTTTAGCAAGGTAGAAGGAAAAACAAAAGAATGCTTACCTATGTGATTTACCATGGCTTGTGTTGTTGAAACCATTAAAGTAATTAAATATATTTCTAGATTTTTTGTAATGATAAAAATAAAGCTGGTTGAATTTAGTGCTCTATAAGGTTTGAGAACAATTATTTCCTTTATTGCAGATGCTGACTGATCTGGATGACTTTTACCCGCCATGGTTTGGTCCCATAGATTCTGCCGTACCACAAAAAGAGTCTCAAATGTTTGCTACCCACCATCTGCTGCACTGCTTCCGCAGGGACTCTCATAAGATTGACAACTATCTAAAAATCCTCCGATGCCGCATGATACATGCCAACAACTGCTAGGGACTGTAATAAGCCTCTAAAGATGCCTGCAATCTCAACTGTTACAGACTGTATTTACCATTATGCCATGCTACGGAAGAAATAATAATGGAGCACTTAGTAATCCTGCCATCTTCTTTAGGCATTACCCAGGGTCAGAATCTAGACTGCTTAGTGAGAGGCAGTTGAAAAAAAACCTGCACCCCCTGTATTTATAACTGTATATGCAGCCTGACTGCATTACAGTAATAAATATCAAGGGCTGAATTGGGCCTTAATGATATAGGTTTCTGATTTTTTTTAAATTAATACTGTTTCTGTAAAATGTTGGGAAAATATGGAAATAAAAGGTTGGCAAATATGATTTAGGAAAGGTATATGTCCAGTGACATGCTTTATTTATTCAGACAATCAAGCAGACTTTTTGGGATGTTATACCCGATCATCCTTTGTGCCTTTATAGGACTAGAGTCCTTACAGAGAGAACACAAATATTTTATTAATTACATATTTTAGCCATTATATTTTGTAAGCTAAATTTGAACGTTCTGTTAACCAGTTGCCGTCCGCCCGTTGTAAAAAAACGGACGGACGGCACTGCAGCATTGGCGGGTTGCCGTCTCCAGACGGCATTATTTTTCTGCGGGCGCGCACGGGTAGAAAAGACCCCACCTCTGCTTCATCAGCTTCTTTTGGGGTCTTAAAAAAAAAAAAGAAATTCGGTAATTTTTCCTTAATATAGTAACAAATAAAAACCCCAGTGGTGAATAAAATACCACCAAAAGAAAGCTCAATCTGTCCCCGAAAAACGATCTAAAATTCATTTCAGTACAGCGTTGCATGACGGAATAAATGTCAGTCAAAGTACCGCAGCGCTGAATACTGAAAAATGGCCTGGATGGGAAGGGGGTTTAACACAGCGGATGTCAACTGGTTAAGAAAGCAGACGTTAACAAGGCCATTGAATGACTAATAGACCTTATGAAAAATAAAGCATATACACAAATTATGATTTCCAGCTTTTTCTAATTTTTTGGCTTTTTTTTATTTTTTATTGGGAGATACAGATCATATATGTAGCAAAAAAAAAAGTGCAGTTTGTTCTAAAATGTTTTTTGGGTAGTTTATTATTGTACCTGTGTTTAAATCTCAAAGGGTCAAACTATTCAAAAGAGATATTTAGTTATACATGAAGAGTACCTGAAATTATTTTTAGGAAAACCTCACAGCGTAGCAAAACTGAGACAAAACACAAGATTAAAACAGGCCGAGCATCTGATATATTTTACCATGTTAGGTGCATGCATGCCAACTAATGTGTAAGCCTAACATTTACAGGTATATCTTACAGTACTTTCTGGCAATGCCTCCATCTGCTTTCCTCTCTAAGACGAAACCATCTTTGTTCAGGCATTATTCAGGACCAGAATCCACTTCCTAGTCTTCTTAAGGAGGGAGAGGCACTTAAAAAAAAATAAAGAGCCCCATTGTTTCATAAATATGCAGCCTGACTACATTATGGGGTTGTATCAAGGGTTAAATTGGGCTTTAATGATATAGGTTTTAGACTTTTTTTTTATTAAAGTAATAGGGTTTCCTTCCCTTCAAAACATAGGGGGGCTGAAAGGGTTGCCAAAAATTATTTTGGAAAATTATAATTCTAGTAAATTGCTTTATTTATTCAGAAAGTCAACTTAATGTGTTTTGGGAGCTAAAATGCATATTTTAGGCCTTTATATTACTTAACACCCCTTAAAATGATACATTATCATCACCTACTTCAAGGCTGTATTAATGATGTCCAGTGTAGAAGCACCATTCCAGCCTTTACAATATGAGGAAAAAAAGCATAGCTCTCTTGAATTGGTACACTGACAACTGGTGCGCTGTTGCTGGGTTGTTATGCCAGCTTCCAGACAGTATCCATCTGGAAAAGCAACGGTCTTAGTTTTCTCTTATGGTAAAGAGTATAACTGCATAGCAGTTCTACAGAAGACAACAGCCTACAGCAGCCATCTTTGATACTGCCCTGATGACGGGGGTGACAACCCCTGAAACAAGTTGGCTTGACTGAAGTGACTGACTTCCAAACCATGTTGGCTTGACTAGCTGATGAAATAAAGTAGATCATTTGAATTATGACTTTCTTGCATAATTTTTGTGGCGCACTGTCTCCCCCTCAATGCACATTAATACCCAAAGATTTGTTTTCTGATTGACACCTCCAGATCAAGAGCTGCCTACCTATATCCATCTGGAATTGGAATCGCTGAATACACACACAAAACTGTGTTTATCCAAGGCACCACACCTATGTTTTCAGAAAATGTCAGCAATATATTCACGCAGACATGTAAAATGACTAAGAAGTCAACTTTAAATAACATAAATTTAGCTTTATTCACAAATATTTCAGATGCATTTAAGCCCAAACTGACTTGAAGCCAAAGAACATGTTGTTATGAAGTACAAAGTAGTAAAGTAGAGTCCAACATCTCCAATCTGGATCCACTGGATCAATAATATAGATGGATTTTAAAAGCCACACCTCCAACAGCTTCGCACTATGCTGGTTGAACCGGCATTGTTATAGTCAGTACCTGAAATAGAGTCACAAACAGTTATTCAGTAAACAGCATAGCACTTTATACATTCTTTCTTACAAACTATGTATTAATAGCAGAGAGCCCGATTTTAATTATTATATTTCACTCGAAAAAACACGTATCAGTATTATTATTATGCAGGATGTATATAGCGCCAGCAGTTTATAATAAGGAAAACATTACAATCACAACACAATTCAAGACAAGATGGTAAGGAGGGCCCTTGCCCGTGAGGGCTTGTAATCTAAAAGGGAGGGGCTTTTAGGGGCTGGTTAGGTGGATGCGTCTAGCAGCAGCATTCATGATAGACTGAAGGGGAGATAGCCTGTGTAGAGGTAGGCCAATGAGGAGGGAGTTGAAACAGTCGAGAGATAACAAGGGAGTGGATGAGTAGTTTTGCAGTTTCATTGGTGAGGAAGGAGCGTGTTTTGCAGATGTTACGAAGGCGGAAGGATTTGCATAGGGATTGGATGTGGGGCAGAATGGTGAGGTCCGAGTCCAGGATGACACCTAGCACCTTGGCATGGGAGGAGGGATGGATAGTTGTGTTATCAATCTCAAGGGAAAAGTTGGGAGAAGGTGCAAAGGCAGGAGGAAATATCATGAGCTCAGTTTTTGAAAGGTTGAGTTTTAAGAAGTGTTGCGACATCCAGACTGATATGTCAGTTAGTAGATTAGTGACACGCAAGGACACTGAGGGGGTGAGTTGTGGAGTAGAAAGATAGATTTGAGTGTCATCGGCATAGAGATGGTATTGGAAACCATGCGAGTCTGGGTGGATAGACCTTAGACTTCCAAAACATAAACATTTGATAACTAAAAAACTATGCTGTATGTGCTAAAAGGAAAAAGACCAGACGCATTTAAAAAGTTATATATATAGTCCCACTAAGACAGTGGTGGTCAACTTTCTTCATAAAGGGGACCTCAAGTGCGGCCCTTGACAGCGCCATCGGGCAGCACATTGTGTTAAGTGAATTGTAGTACTAAAGTAAAGTAATCAGAGACTGCAGACATGCAACATGAGATCGACAGACTATGGGCATGATTCTCCCTTCAGCAAGATCCATTATAAAAAGATTTTTAAAAAGACGTTAAAAGAGGAAAGAGCTGATCAGCACTAAAAAAAAGCAAAATAATGTAAAATATATAAATCAAGCCAACTACTAGAACCCAGTCTAAAGAATAGATTTCCTTTACTGACCTGGGGAAGCACCTAGGTAAGGGAAACACAGACTATTGCCTGCAGGGGCCCCATGGACCACACAGTAGGTGCCAAAGGGCCTTAGGTTGGGCACCAAGGCAGTACGGGGTACATTCATAAAGTGGACAATTTTTGGTCCGTTTGACATTTTGTGCTGCAACAAATGACTATAGGGTCTTTTGCCATAATTTTAAAGACGTAAAAAGCTGGCTCACTGATTTTACACATTTGAGGATTTTAGACCAGCATCCTCTTTTCTCTCCCGTTCATTGAAGGATCCCACCCCTCTTTTTTGGTACTGCTCTGTGACGTCCCTACAGTACATGATCTCCGATCTGTTCCCTGTGTCCTTCAATGAACGGGAGAGAAAATAGGATTTTGGTACTCACCGTAAAATCCTTTTCTCTCCGTTCATTGAAGGACACAGGGCCCGCCCCTCTATGTGGGTGTGTACTCCTTTACTGCTTGTTACTAAACTGGAGACTTGTCAGCAGGTGGGGGGTTTGGCCACCGGCAAGGGCCGCCCTTAGGCTGTGATTGGTCTTTAGTTTTTTTGTGCCTAGCGTCCTTCTCCTGCAGGTGGCGATATTACCCTACAGTACATGATCTCCGATCTGTTCCCTGTGTCCTTCAATGAACGGAGAGAAAAGGATTTTACGGTGAGTACCAAAATCCTATTTTGCGTTTGTCTTCTCCACCAAGCAAACGAATGGAAAATGCACTCAATGGTTCATAACCAGCTTTAACCACCTCCCGTCCGCCGAACGTTGAAAGACGGCTGGACGGGAGTCTCCTGGATGCGGGTGGGCGTCTTTTGACGTCCTTCGTGCCCACGCGTGCCCCCAGCGATGGTCGTTTACATAGAAGCGGTTCGGTCTTAGAGACCCCTGATGTCTCCATAAAAAAATATGTGCAAGTTATGAGTTATGTTTCTTTAATACTAGCTCACCTTTGTGTCTTTGTTAAACTGAGCACCACTTTCCTCCTGGATAATATTGTAGGGAATAAAGATATCCATATGATACAAATCAGGACGTCCCAATAATACAATTTGGTCTTCTCCAAGGTCTAGTACAAGGGATCTGACAGAGGACTGCAAAGGGAAAAATCAGCATTTATAGAAATCCTTTTGGTGAATAGGGCCCATGACCCTTGTATAATTGCAGTAGAACTAAGGCCTACAGGGGCCCTTCAAAAATGCTAATATAGTTATAATAGAAGTACTCACCACTCTAGGCAAAGAGATTTCAGCCACAAGAAAGCTTGGATGTCCCCCAGAAGGTTCTGCAATAATTGTATATTCTGGTACCTCTGGTGAGCTGAGTATTAAATCATAGAACAAAAAAATACATAAACTTATATTTACACAAGCAAGCAAAATCTGCCCTTGTACTGGTGATACACATGGCAATTTTCCCTTAGTTTTGACTCAAACTGCGAAGGTTTAAAACCACCATTATCTTTTATTGCTGGCTGCAACTCCACTGGGGACATTTCCCTTCATTATGTGTGACACAAGGACAAAAATAAGGGGAACAGGAGTCACAGACACAAAGGGCAGCACATGCTGTTATTAAAGCCTGACCGAGATCACAACCTTTTTCCAATGTACTAAAAGTATCTAAATTGTTGCCGTCTCTGACCCTATTGTCGGTCAACCAATTGGGACACAGACAAATAAACACCTGACAGAGGTTTTAATTTTTACCTACCCTATTTAAAACAAAATAAAAAAGTTTTGACAGGAGATCTTCAAAGGATTTAAGAAAAACAAACCTTGTGACTTCAGAAATAAGAGACTTGCTTGCAGTTGACTGTAAGGACCTAAGGTAAGAAGCAAGAAAATAACGTTTTGTCAACATTATTTTACTAAAATTAAAAAGCTGTGGATTTGAGAAGTAGCATCTCTGCCAGACATTGTAGGTGTTAATGTGGCTTCCTTTTCACACCAAAAACACAGAAAAAGAAATCTAAGAACATCAAAACTATAATAAAACTAGACACATATTTGGACCAACATAACCCCATTTTAGCAACTTAAACACCACATTCAAAATCAGATTTACCATTATTTGTATGAATTGTATCCCAAATATGTATCTATTATATGAGTTTCAAAAAAAATGAAAAAAAAAAAAAACTTACTTTGGTTTCATTTCTTGAATCATAGGTTTGGATGTTGTTCTTATATTTTGATCAAATATGGATCCCATGAACTTTCGATTTTTGAGCATACGCCATTCTGCAATAGACAGGGAAAGGGAATTTTTCTTAAAGCATACCTTCTGTATAAGTAGAAAAAGACCACATATCAGCACTACCAAGTAACATTATTATTTTGACGAAAAAGAGAAAAAAAAACAAAAAAAAAAACGTACCACTTTCTTGAAAAACAAAAATTATAAAAAGATTAGGGCCACAGTGTAATACAAGCTATACACAGAAACATAGGTTTTAAAACAGACACACACTAATTTACATTAAGCTGTTTATCTAAGAAAAACACCTGCAGAAGCCTCAAATGTGCACCATTCATTCGGCTTGCTTAAATGAGTGGCCACATAGTAAAATGGATTAGTCCTTATAGGAACTCTATTTGAAGTAGTCTTCCAGGACAGGGACAGTCACAGACAGAAACAGGAGCTGCCAATTACGAATATGAGTATCGACACTGCTTCTCCAATCTAGGAATCCTGTGGTCATGATCTGAAAATACAGAATTTCTAGGGAAGCTCCTGCTCAAGACAAATTCAACATGGAGCACGCTCCACTACTGACAGCAAGTCTAATATTCTCTTGACTTCTTTCATGTTGAACTAAACACTGGAAAAGGGTGATCAGAGCTAGCTTCCTCATAATGCTGTCCCTATAAATCCCTTTACTTAAAAATGATTGCTAATTATGCACTTTTTCCATTATTTGTTTCAAGCTTGTTATGTTACGCATGATATAGATAAATGTGATAGATAACAATTCGGTAATACAATTAGGTGGTATAGCAATTAGAACAGATCAATGTATTACCTCTAGAAAGCTCCGTTGCATATTTGTTTTCCAAGCCTTCCATTGCCACTGTGATATCAACAACCCCACGCTGCCGCCGACTGTCACCGCTCCCCCTACCGACCGGTAAGTGCCCGATATGCTCCTAGGCATCTGGGACCCTGGGCTCCTCAGCCTCCCCGTACCTCCATGCTGCCCCTGTTGTTGCCAGACTGATGTCCACAACAGGGGCACCGCACACTCCAGGTCATCACACCTTTCCACTGCTGTACACCCGGGGGGGGCCACCATCTGGCGCCTACTCACGTGCAGGAGGATGGTTGCCTTCCCTGAGTGACGGAAGGGAACCTTGGCCAAGAATCGGGTGGGGGTCCGATAGGGAATCCCTGTATGCACTGCAGCAGGTAACCCTGGAGTAGGTCCCAATGCATAGTAGGGTAAGGCAAACAAACGTGAGCCCTTTAAAATAACATACATTACGATGTCCCTGTGTAGCTGACGGAAACACAAAAAAACTGACTTGGGATGGAAGGAGGAGTCTATTTATTTAATGTGGTTGATGTGTTTCCTGTTGCAGGTAGGCGGAGCCTATATCTCGATGGCTGTCCTGGAAGATGACTGGGGAGAAGACAAATGCAGAACATCAGTTTATTTCCAAGAGAACTTTTAATGCTAAATGAGTGATGATCAGAGGGAAGGTTACAGTTATTATAGCTGTGGAATACCTTAATCTTGTCAAAGAAAGAACTGTTTATTACAATGTCATAGGCTGTGCAACCACTTCCACCTGTATAAAGAGACAAAGAATATTTCAAGCTTTTTATTACAATATCATCCGATGAGTTGTTTTATCTGGTTACATGCTCTGATAAAGTCACTACTTTGTAAATGCAATGTATTTTTATTTTTCCAATAAAGCAAGTTTTATCTGTTGTGGTGCGCTCTGCTTTTTTTTTCTAGAGAACACAGGCCATACTGGTGACTAGTCTTTTGCCCTCTGCCTGCCTTTTTCCGGGAACAGCTTACAGAGTTTGTTCCACTTAAAGCCCTCAGGCTTATTTCAGTAATAGGTAAGGAGAAATTGCAAATATGCAGAAGAGAGCTGAGGGTGCCGCCTGCTGGCTGAAAATACAAATATAATGTGTGTGTCAAAGCAAAATAAAAAAAAAAAACATGTGCAGTACATTTCTGCAATGCATGTATGTTTCCCTGTGCTTTATCCTTTTTAAAAGACCCTACAAGTTCAGAAACATCACTGGTGATATGCCAGAAATACACTGTACTTCTAAGTTCTTTTGTGAGCTGGCAACATACAGCTTTTTTGTGGACTGAATGGTGTCAGCTCTGCCCACTGTCTTTCGCTAAACATCTCAAACACTCCTACTTACAGATCTATATGACAAAGTCTATTCACTCTACAGCCCATGATAAGAACTAGCAGGGCTAAATAGCCTATTTGAGATAACACATGAAGTCTGCTCAAGACAAAAGAGAGCTCTGAATTTCTGATGAGACCTATGGGCTATTTATGCACTCAAAAACAGGCATAATAAAGGGCTTTCAATAATATATTTCACAGACCAAAAAGGGAGCAAATGAGGGAAGTTCATTGTTAGAGTTTACATACACTTTAAAGTAGGGATGCACAGATACCAGTTTTTTGGTATCGAGTACCGATATTGATCTCTCAGTACACGCCGATACCGAGTACCGATACCGGTACTTCCATGAGCATGGGGGTTGGCTTGCCGGGCAATCAGGAACCCGGGCAGCGTGTCATTACTTGCCGCCCAGCTTCCGGATTGGCGGGGAAGCCGGCTTCCCAGCCAATCAGCAGTAAGCCAGCTGTCATTATCTGCCGCCCGGCTACCCGATTGGCCGGGAAGCCGGTTCCATGTTCCCTCCATGTTCAGGAGGAATCTACTAGTATCGGTATTGGTGTATCCATACTTTAAAGCCCTGACCATAGTTACTCAAGAATCCACTATACATTTCTTAAAAAAAAAACCAAACAACTGAATTACATATAGTATTAGCTTAGGCCTTGTTCACACCAGATGCAGAGCAGATCCGGTCAGGTTTCTGCACACGCACGCTAGACTTTTAGATGCGTTTTTGACGCATTTTTGGCTAAAAAAATAGTTTTTAATTTTTTTTTAAAGTTTAAAATGGGCTTTCAGTGCGTCCCAGGCATTTGCATGCATTTTTGATGCGTTTGCAGATCCAGAGCAGGTAAAATAGGGCCTGCTGCAGTTTTTTCACCTGCTCTGGAGCTGCTCTGAAACTGCACACTGCAATGTGAACTGGAGCAAAAAATACCATTGGAATACATTGGACGCAGTTTTGATCCGGTCTGCAACTGATCTGCTCTGCACCTGCTCCGAGCTTTGTGTGAACAAGGCCTAATTTGACCATTACATAAGTCAGTGTTGGTGACCCAAATACATCTTGAACAGAACATACAGTATATGACCAAATGTCTAAGTAGCCAATTTCACATTTAAAAGAGAAGTTAATTCTTCCATTGTATTAGACTTCTTTTTTTAGTTTTCAAATAAAATTGCTGAACCTGTGCTAAATGCTTCTATATAGAACATTAGAAGCAAAGTATCAAAGCAAATTGTCTTCACATGCTGCTTGACTGATGCATATGCCAAGATGGTTATTAAAGCTTGTCCAATCACCTGACAAAAAAAATCCATCCAAATCCTTTTCCACCAATGGCCTTTTGCTGACATGCAGCTCAGATGTTTTCTACAATAAATAAAAGTACAGACCTGTTTCTGCCCATGTGTAGTAAAGCCCCCTTTCCGAAACTGCAAGTACAATTAGCAACTAGACCCTCATCTTGTCAGTGGTTACAACTCTTTGCTGGGCCAAAACAGAGCTCAATTCTCTATTGTTAGGCTCCACTTTATATACCTGCAATGGTAGTGCAGGAAAAACTCAAAATTACAGCTGAAGGTCTCAGTGGAACAAAGACAGTCATGCTGTTAAGGATTCCTCTGTGCTGTTACACAGGATGAACATTTCAGGTGCATACATGACAAATTACAAGGAACAAGAGCTCCATTAGATAAATATCTTACTATTGTCTACTTCAACATGGGGTTCTCCAATGCTCATTGGGACACGATATCCAGAGGGATCATCTGATTCCAAGATACTGACTAGCTCCTGCTCACTGAGGTCGGGGGGTGCTGGGATTTGATTTGACTTACAGATGTTAATGAAGATCTTTTCATTTTTAGATGTGCGAGTTTTTATGCAAAAACCTGTTAAGAAAAACAACACAAATTATGGATCAATACAAATATTTACAATAACAAAACAGTAGAATTAGGATAAACAAAGTGGTATTAACGAAGTTCAAAGGGACTTTATATATAAAACGACGATCAGACACCTGACATACTAAAAACAAAGAGATTGATTAGTAAAGCTAGCCATATATGGTTAGAATGTTGTCAAAAACTGTAGTTTTCAAATTGTTTGTTCATTTTCCCCAGTTTATTGGGAGACATCGATGATCATTTTCGACTGCAGTGATGAGAAAAATAAAAAAGTTTGAAAATGTTTCTAATTTCTTATCTCAATGAAATTCAGAAAATTGTACCTATAGTAAAAAATAAAGTTTCCTCCAGAATAACATTTCTTTGTTTAACCTTTTCGCTGTCAAGCCCTCAGCAACACTTTTAACCTCAGCTGGCCACAACATTTTTGCAATTTTTCCCATTGTTTTGATTTTCTATTGCTGCGCTTGTAAAAAAAACAAAACCCTGAACTATATATTTTCTGAAAGCACAGGTCCAGTAGAAAAAAAAGATGGTGCTAGTAATTTTGTAGGTCTTGCAGTAAGGAATTATCAGGGGTCTAAACAGACGCCTACCATTTCCTTTTTGAAATAGAAAAACACATTTTAAATGAATGGAAAGCCCTCAGTACAGAGGCTTCCAATTCATTTAGAAACTGAAATATTTACTATCAACCAGTTTCTGAATGGATAGAAGCCTCTGTAGTGAGTGCTTCTCCCCACTGAGAAACTCATGAATGAACAGGAAGTGATGTAAAGCACTTCTTGTTCATTCATAACTGGGGACACATAGTACTGTTTCCCCAGTTGTTTACAAACATTGGAGTGATCAGCATTTGTTCTGCACACAGAGGATTGGTAAATATCACAGATATTTACCGATCCTCTGCTCCAGCACACACAGAGCTGCTGTCATCCTGAAACTGGCCAGATGACAGCGTCTCCGCTCTACTCCCCACTCGGCTGCGGCTCCTCTCCCCTCACCGCTGGATGACAGCACTCCCTCCTCCACCGGCTTTAGCTGTCATTTTCTCCTTGGATCCCCGCTGCCACAGCCCATACATGCGGGGGGGAGCAGTGGGGATCCAAAGATAAGCATGGAGTGGCTCCAGGCGGGGAGAAGATGACAGATGGCGTCAGCAGGTGCCAAAGGGAGGGGGAGGGAATATTTGTTAATAGCACTAGGGATGCTCCGATACAAGCATCGGTATCGGCGGCGATACCGAGTATTTGCATGAGTACTCGTGCAAATACTCCGATACAAAAAACGAGTACCTGTGCTGCGTCCGACATCTTCAAGGACCCGAAACCGCCGCACAAAAAGGACCTCCATAGCGTCCTCAATTAAACAAGATGGCCGCGAACTCCTCCTCCAAGTCCTCAATCATCTGATCCATTCTGACCTCTTCCCCGCTGATTGGCCGATTGGATGATTGACATTATTAACGAAGTTCAAAGGGACTTTATATATAAAACGACGATCAGACACCTGACATACTAAAAACAAAGAGATTGATTAGTAAAGCTAGCCATATATGGTTAGAATGTTGTCAAAAACTGTAGTTTTCAAATTGTTTGTTCATTTTCCCCAGTTTATTGGGAGACATCGATGATCATTTTCGACTGCAGTGATGAGAAAAATAAAAAAGTTTGAAAATGTTTCTAATTTCTTATCTCAATGAAATTCAGAAAATTGTACCTATAGTAAAAAATAAAGTTTCCTCCAGAATAACATTTCTTTGTTTAACCTTTTCGCTGTCAAGCCCTCAGCAACACTTTTAACCTCAGCTGGCCACAACATTTTTGCAATTTTTCCCATTGTTTTGATTTTCTATTGCTGCGCTTGTAAAAAAAACAAAACCCTGAACTATATATTTTCTGAAAGCACAGGTCCAGTAGAAAAAAAAGATGGTGCTAGTAATTTTGTAGGTCTTGCAGTAAGGAATTATCAGGGGTCTAAACAGACGCCTACCATTTCCTTTTTGAAATAGAAAAACACATTTTAAATGAATGGAAAGCCCTCAGTACAGAGGCTTCCAATTCATTTAGAAACTGAAATATTTACTATCAACCAGTTTCTGAATGGATAGAAGCCTCTGTAGTGAGTGCTTCTCCCCACTGAGAAACTCATGAATGAACAGGAAGTGATGTAAAGCACTTCTTGTTCATTCATAACTGGGGACACATAGTACTGTTTCCCCAGTTGTTTACAAACATTGGAGTGATCAGCATTTGTTCTGCACACAGAGGATTGGTAAATATCACAGATATTTACCGATCCTCTGCTCCAGCACACACAGAGCTGCTGTCATCCTGAAACTGGCCAGATGACAGCGTCTCCGCTCTACTCCCCACTCGGCTGCGGCTCCTCTCCCCTCACCGCTGGATGACAGCACTCCCTCCTCCACCGGCTTTAGCTGTCATTTTCTCCTTGGATCCCCGCTGCCACAGCCCATACATGCGGGGGGGAGCAGTGGGGATCCAAAGATAAGCATGGAGTGGCTCCAGGCGGGGAGAAGATGACAGATGGCGTCAGCAGGTGCCAAAGGGAGGGGGAGGGAATATTTGTTAATAGCACTAGGGATGCTCCGATACAAGCATCGGTATCGGCGGCGATACCGAGTATTTGCATGAGTACTCGTGCAAATACTCCGATACAAAAAACGAGTACCTGTGCTGCGTCCGACATCTTCAAGGACCCGAAACCGCCGCACAAAAAGGACCTCCATAGCGTCCTCAATTAAACAAGATGGCCGCGAACTCCTCCTCCAAGTCCTCAATCATCTGATCCATTCTGACCTCTTCCCCGCTGATTGGCCGATTGGATGATTGACAGGCTTCCCCACCAGCCAGGAGTGAGGACTTGGATAGAGGTCAGAATGGAGCAGATGACTAGGCTGTGACACGGAGTGGCTGAAGCAGACGGAGAAGACGACACAGCAGGTTAGTACTGCAGCACCGCATGGGGGCTGGGCACAAAAATGCTGTTTAACTGCATATAATATTTAAAAAAAGAAAGACATTAAATAAAGAAAAAACGATGTAGATATTGCTAACTAAGGCTTGTATCCACTAGTGGGGAAAATAGATGAGCATATGTCCAGACCCCAGACCAGAACACTGTATAGTGTGGCACAGCTATATCAAATTCTGCATATCTGGCTTTTAATTATAAAAAACATTATAATAATGGGGAAAATAGATGAGCACATGTCCAGACTCCAGAACACTGTATATTGTGGCACAGCTATATCCGATTCTGTATAACTGGCTTTATATTATTATTAATTTTTTTTATAATATAAAGCCAGGTATGCAGAATTGGATATAGCTGTGCCACACTATACAATAATACACTGTTCTGGAGTCTGGACATGTGCTCATCCATTTTCCCCACTATGAGGATACAAGCCTTAGTTAGCAATGGCATGATCTAAATATTCATTTCATGTTCATGTTCTAAAATCATGATTTTGTATTGCTTTAGAAAAAATGTGACCTGCCCCTTTAAGAAAAAGTACCGGCAATTGGTATCGGTGAGTACTTGAAAAAAGTATCGGTACTCGGTCTTAAAAAAGTGGTATCAGAGCATCCCTAAATAGCACTCGTCAGCGGCTTCTTAGCCACTGAAGACAGCTTTTATTTCACAGGGGAAAGTCAGGAGAACCCTTCTGGTATAAGTTCATGGTCACAAAAGTGACCATGAGCTTACAGCAGAAGGGTAAAAGCCACCAATGTATGGCATAGTGATGTGGCCAGCTGCAAGCGGTTGTGCTCTGCCATACGACGGTGGCAGCGAAAGGGTTTAACGATTACGTATGGCAGGGCTCAAAATTTCCACTCGCCCGCTCGCATTTTGCGAGTAAAAATAAAAGTGAGGGCGAGTGGAAATTTGGGTCTCCAAGTACCGGTCCGCGGTCCAACTGTGGCCCGCAGACAGCTGACATGTCAGGCACGCGATCACAGACCGCGTACCTGACTTGCGGGAGAAGCTCCACGGTCTGCATCTGTGTCAGATGCAGACCGCAGAGCTGCACCCGTCGGCTCCGGCTTCCTTCGGCCAAAGCTCTGACAGTTCTGAGCTCCGGCCGAAAGCAGGGCTGTATTAGCGAGGTCTGCAGACCTCACTAATCACACCCAGAGAACCGGGGAACGATCCTCCTCAAGCCTCCTCCCTGCAAAGCCGTGAACAGGTGAGGGGGCTCGCGGGGAGGGGAGTGTATTATTAATTTGTTTGTGGGGGGTTAATAAGGGGAAGGGGGAGTGTTTTATTTTAATTATTTTATATGTGTGGGGGTATTAATGAGGGAGAAGGGGAAAAATATTATTATATTATT